TTGGGTCCTTTTGTCAAGATCCGTCTGTGACCGAGTGCGCACGGTGGGATGCATCATCTGCTTTGCTAGCCTTTTCTGCCAGGGCAGCAGACACACACAAGAGGGCGGCGGTGAGCAGGAGTGGTGTCAGCCGTGCTTGCCCGGCAAAATGTAGTTCGATGTCGACGTGACATCACCTGATCGGCAGATGTTCTTCAAGACCTTTGCAGCTGGGTGTGCAGAGAGCAACATTATGGCCGGTTTGATGCTGGAACCAGAACAGTTGGTCGTATGAGCATCTGCGGCATCCGTGCATGTACGGTGGTGTTGCGGTGTATAGCTGTCCATCCTTCAACCCTCAGCAGGTTTCAAGGGGCCGTGTCTCCCTCAAAGGGAGCAATCGCGCTGCTTGGTGTTGTGGGCAAAAGTGACGTGTGCGATGCCTCTGGTTGCTCCCGGCCCCCTTGCAAGTGCTCAGAATGCTTGTTGCCGAGGCTTCGCATCCTTCGGCCGGCGAGCCTAGAAACAGAATCGCCCTGTGCAGTCTTTGCATAGTGAGATAGTGCGTTGCTGCATTCTGTGCATGGTCGCTGTAGTCTCCTGCACACAACGATGTGTGTTCGAGATCCTCGTACCTCCCCGTTGTTTTTGCTGTTGGTTTTTCAGTACTTCCCTTGGACGATGGCAACGATTCTGCCATGTCAAAGCATGAGTTGGAGACCTTTTCTTAGCACAATTTGGTAGAGTCATGCGAGATGATAGCCCCCTAGTTTCAGAGAGAAGGTGATTGAAAGGACCTAAAGCCCTGAGATGTGATCCCCTTCCAACACCTGAGCCGCCTGAACCCTAAACCCTAAACCCTAAACCCTAAACCCTAAATCCTAAACCCTAAACCCTAAACCCTAAACCCTAAACCCTAAGACTAAGCCTAAGCCCTAAACCCTAAACCCTAAGCCCTAAGCCCTAAACCCTAAACCCTAAACCGGCAGCCACGGCGCACTGCAGGCACTGTTCGAGGGAGAGAGCCTCTTCTGCCTGACGCCCGGAGATGCCCGGAGAGCCCAAGCATCCCCAAGCCGCCTCGAATATGCCAGAACAGTAGCTGAGAGAGAGAGAGAGAGAGAATCAATGCCGGGGGCCCCCGAACCCGGGGTCCTCTAAAGTGAGGAGAAGAGAATCAATGAATGAAGAGGACATGGAAAGAGGAAGGCGAATAGAGAAGACAAGTGGAAGGAGATGGGAGAACGAAGACTTCACCTTTCTCTTTACCCTCTTGATTCTCAGAGGCTTGTTTCAGAAGGGGTTCAGGAAGTAGTGCTTTGTCGAATATGTGATTCTTAGCCAGTCTGATGTTTCACGTTCGATAAAAGAGAAGACCGAAGGATATGTAAATGTCTATGCCACAAGGTTTGTAGTTTTTGTTTTTTTGGGTAATCTTGTTGTTGTTTTTTTTCGGGGTTTATTGCATAGCGGAAGTCTGCCGTCACATGAAGCGTAAAGGTCCAACCCACATATATACAATCTAATATTTTCTTATTTATTTGTTTGTTTACAATGAACCAAAATGTACGGACCATCCAAAGCTGATGCTAAGATTCACCCCTGGGCCGCTGACAGTCTCCGGGCCTGTCAAGCAGGACTGACAAGGGCTTCACCATGCAGGTTTCGGGTTTAGGGTTTCGGGTTTAGGGTTTAGGGTTTAGGGTTTAGGGTTTAGGGTTTAGGATTTAGGGTTTAGGGTTTAGGGTGTAGGGTTTAGGGTCTAGGGTTTCACCTCCTTGGCAATGGGGCCGTAGGGTGATCATGTGCGCATGTCGGGGGTGCTGCACTTGGAGTTTCGGATCGTCGGACTCAGGGTGTAAACCCTGAACCCTACCTAGTGAGCTGAGTCAAGGTGTCAGAAGTTTGACCGGAGAATGTGCCTGTAGCCCCGACATGGGGGTTTCCGAAAACAAGCGTACCCTTTTGGGGGGTCCCCAGAAGAATAAGGACTCTACGATTTTGGCGGCATCTTCAGGGTACCCCTATTGGGGGACCCTAAACCCTAAACCCTAAACCCTAAACCCCTAATCCCTAAACCCTAAACCCTATTGTTAACGTCGCTTTAATAAGCCCCCCCCCCCCCCCCCCAAATCTTGTTTTGGTCCCCGGGTGGAAAAAAAGAGGGGGTGTCAATAATAAGGATTCTGGGGGTCTGGGGTCTGGGGGTCTGGGGGGGGTCATCTGTCAGGGTCTGCTTTGCTTTGTCTTGAAGCTCCTTTTGCTCTGACTTTGTCTGTGTGTTGTCCTGCTCGGCTGCAATGGAACTCTTAAGCCATTTTCAGTAAAAAATTTCGATTCCTGGCCGGCCAAATTTTGCATTTGTCAGCCCATTATTATTTTCATCGGACCCCCCCCCCATGTACACACATCAGCCCGAAAACCTCCCGTAGTGGAAAGGAGTCTTGGGCTGGGGCCCTCTGGCCTGGCGAATATTACTACTACCACCCCATTTATATGTGTGAGGTTAACCTTAAACCCTAAAACCCTAAACCCTAACCTCTAAAACCCTAAACCCTAAACTGCAGGCCATGCTGGTGGACTACGGAAGCAGGGACAAGCCGCTTTGCTTCGTTCTTTCAACCCTAAACCCTAAACCCTAAACCCTAAACCCTAAACCCTAAACCCTAAACCCTAAACCCTAAACCCTAAACCCTAAACCCTAAACCCTAAAGCATACCTCGACTCGAGCTCTCCGCAACGGCGTGGGGTTCAGAGTTTATAGGGCTTTATGGGGGTTTGTAGGGTTTTATAGGGTTTGCAGGGTTTTTGGGGTTTATATAGGGAATATAGGGTTTATCGGGTTTGGAGGGTTTATAGGGTTTAGAGGGTTTGTAGGGTTTAGTGGGTTTATAGTATTGATTTATATAAGGTTTATAGGGTTTATGGGGTTTAGAGGGTTTGTAGGGTTTAGAGGGTTTAGAGTATTTATTTACATAAGGTTATAGGGTTTACAGGGTTTACAGGGTTTACAGGGTTTACAGGGTTTTGGGATGCAGTAGCAAGCGCTCTCAGGGAATGAACGCTGCCCAGGCTTTTCCTGGATGCCGTTGAGGACGTCCGACATCAACTTCTGTCGATCGCAGGGGTCTCCCAGGATATCTGGCATGTTTTCTGGCTTCGAGATGTTCAGGATCATGATTGTCGAGAGGTCTCCACAGCAGTTGACGGATGTTTCCCGATTGGATCTCAGCGGCTGCGTGCTAATACCCCCCCCCCCCCCCTAATTCCCACCGTTAGCACCACTTAGTACCCCTCCCTAATACCCCCTAAACACCCCACCCTGAAACCCCCCCGCAAGTACCCCCCCTAATACCCCCCTAGCACCCCACCCTAAAACCCCCCCGCTAATACCCCCCCCTAATACGCCCCCCCCCCCCCGCCCAGCACATGCCAGGCCGACGGATATGAGTGTGTGATCGTTCAGGTCGCAGCCCTGCAGTGTATACAGGGTTCTTAAATCCTCCCTGGCCCGTTTAAGGTTTAGGGTTTAGGGTTCAGGGTTCATGGGGGGGTAGGTACCGAGCAAAACCTTAGAGAAGCTTAGGGATCCAGCCTTAGGGAGCAGTGGGGAGTATTAGGGAACCTTGGGCTACTTACCCCCCTTGAACCCTTCTCCCTGAAGAACCCTATAAAGTGTCTACGTCGTGTTGGTGTCAGGACATTTTCCAACATCAGGGGCTCCATGGCGACTTGTGTGACATCCAGAAACCATAAAGCGCCCAGACCCCTGAGAGGATCCAAAAAATAGAAGCCCCAAATAGTACTCTTGGGTCATTCTTAGGAACCCTTAAGGGGATCTGTTTTTGGATCGTCCCAGGGTCTGGGAAGGATGGGACGGTTGAAGGTCGATCTGATGAGACCCCAAAGAAGTTCCCCAAAAGAATCGTCTTGTACAAAGGCAGCTGAAAACAAGACAAGTCCGGTGGACCCAGGACTCCAGCAAGGCCTTCAAAGAAATACCCTCAAAGTTTAGGGTTTAGAGTTTGAGGTCCTTGTCTTCGTAAGCTGTTCAGGGCTCCGGCACCACGGCTGTCGAAGCCATGATCGGCGCAGCCGTGCCGCGGAAAGGCGGCAAGGTGCTTCCAAGCTTTGGGCCGGCTGAAGGGTCTACAGGGTGCAAGGAATGTTTCGTGTTTTGGTATGGCAATACAGGGGTCGGGGAAAATTTCGAATAGTTTTTTACAGTCCCTGCATGATTATACTACAATAACCCCCCAAAACTCTAAGTATTCAGGCCCCTATATTAGAATGGCTAGACTCTGGCCATGATGAGGTGAAGTTGATGAGGCAGCCCCATGTCTGCCAAGGCCACAAAAAAACCCGAAGAAACTCTGCGTCACCGCCACGGCCCCCACCTTTGAGCAGTGAAGACTTGAATCGGGCCTCTGCCTTAAGCCTCTTCATCCGATGCCGGAGTTCATTTTGCCATGCACATCCAGTCGGAGACGGCAATGCCAAACCGCAGTACAGGCCCCTCCTTAGGAAGATGCCTTGGGGAAGCAGACAGGGGGGTTTCCGAAAGTAAGGGACCCCTAGTATAGGCCTCCAAATAGTAAGATCCCTTCATCACAAGGATCCCAATAAGGTACCCCCCTATATTCGGAAACGCCTGTAGAGACACCTTTGCCTTTCTTCGACATCGCAGGCCACCTTTTCTGTTCGGGTATTGTGAAGTGGGTCCTACAGCTACGTGGGCTGGGACCGCTCTCCTTCGCTAGATGGACGAGGATCGGATAGGCGTTAAGCTTGAGGGACTTGGTCTTCTAACGCTTGGGGCGCAGATTTTCCGATGTGCTAACCGGGTGCCTGCGCGTTGCTGTCGACCTTGCACGTGTGGTCGGAGTCTTTTCGGAGTTTCAGCGTTCGCCTCACCACATCTTAATTAGCTCAGCCGGCAGTCAGATGCCCTCAGATGTCTTGCCTGCTCAAACCTCTGCGAACTCCGTAAGGAGCGGGGGGCAGGTGGGCTTCGAAGCCTCATGGCCCACCCACACCGGGGTTCCATGGCCAGTGAGCAGATGGGCTACCCGATGGTCATGGGTGCGAACGGAGCGCCTTTAGAGCCTTTGAAGTTTGGGCGCTGTCTGCATCCTGGACTGGAGAAGCTGGACATCGAGGTCCAGGTGCGCGAAGGAAAGCAAGCCCAAAAACGGGGGGGGTCTGAGGGGCAGAGCTCCCGAAAGCATCCCGACACATTCCGGGGAATGTGATGTGAAGGGTCCCGAAAGGTCCCCGCCTCCAATTCATTGCATGTTTCTTCATGTTTCTTCTCATTTGAAGGAGTACCTTTGGTTGAGCGAGCCGCTGGTGGAGCGTTCGCAGCTGACCAACATACTGCGCATGTGGGGGCTGAGCCGACCTAATCTGGTGATCGAGCTTGTGGGAGGCTCGAGGGATTAATTTGCCTCCTTCGGACAGAAACTCAAGAAGTTCAGGCAGTTTGAATTGCCGGTAGTCTTGCGGAACCACGTGTCATGTCAGTCCCGTCCTGTGCTGCGCAAGAAAGGTTTTTGCCACCCCAAACATCTGCTGCTGCCCTCTGACATAGACACGCTGCAGAGATCGGGAATCGGCAAGGTGGTGGAAGATGCGCAGCGTGTGCTGCAGCTGCAGTCAAGTGAGTCAAGCCCAGATGGGGAAGTCAGTATGGCGCAGCTACAAAGGATGGTGGGGAGTAGCCTGTATGACCGGCTTGTCGAAGCCATGGTGGCCTTAGTTGAGGCCTGCTCCGCAACGAACTCCTGGCTCATGATCGACATGCCCAACATCGGGCAGATGCCCTTTGTGTTGGAGGCGGCCCTCTTCCGCACCAAGAGTCGACCCGTCATCCTGGTGTTTGTGGATCCGCAGGTGACTGGCAAGTTCCGCACCGGTGAGCACGAGTACCAGGAGGAGGCTTGGAAGCTCTTGGAAGAAGGAGCCAAAGAGGTCCACTTGGAAGAGACCTTGTTTTCCAAGTTGCAAAAGCAGATCTTGCCCGAAGATCTCTTTCCCGCCAACACGCAGTGGTGGCCCGTCACGGACAAGCAGGCGCCGACAGAAGCAGCGGACAGGGACTCACTTTGGCGATGTCATTACGGGAGGTGGTTCTTCCGTGCTGCCACTCCGCAGGAACTCTCATAAGCCCATGTCTTTTCTCAAAGCACGTTGGTCTCTGCGGCTTTGCGCTTCTTTTTTGTCTAGCATTCAAGCAAGCAGCACGTAGCTAGCCGCACTGGCCTCGATTTTGGTGAAGGTTTTGGAACCTTAGGCCAGCCACTACATCTTTTGCCCTTGTGCTGGCAGCTTTTCTTCCAGCGCCGTGTCCTTTCCTATCGAGTGGCTGGGGCATTTCGGCACTGTCTTCAGCGGCGGAGCCATAGGCGACGGCCATGTCAGCGACATAATCTTCGATTCTTTGGATAAGGGTAGACCGACCATTCTCCTCAAGTACACGGGTCAGGCCACGGACATGTGGAGCCACGCGTTGGATGCCATGATGAACATCGCTGAGTCTGGCGAGACTGGTCTCGACATTGGCGCTTCCGGGGTGATCCAACGGATGCGCGAGAAGCTGGGGGACTCTGCGCGCGAGCAGCTGACGCAGAATGCATGGTCAAGTAGAAGTCTGTTTCCCTTCTTGAGGTCACTCCTGCGTAAGGATTGGTCTCGCTTAAAGCAGACTTTCGTGGTGGTGGACTGCTTCAAAGATGCCCCTGATGCCATCCTTGACAAGTTGAGCTCCTGCTTTGCGAGCACCTGTGGCAGTGGGCTGCTTCTGGGAGCTGACAACGTCCGAGCTCGATGTGTGGATGAAGCGCAAGTGATGCTAAGCCAGCTTCGCTACAACGCTCGAAGGCCCAGTAGTAGATTAGGGAACCTTGAACCTTTTTTGGGGTAGTATAATCCCCTTATAATCCCGAAGGTTAACCTTGAATTCCCCCAGGTTACTGGACAACTAAGAAGGTTTGCCGCGCTGGCGAACTTTGTGGCGATTGGCGGAGTATTCCTGTCAATGGTCTCCACGCTGATCGCAGTGACCGGTGCTTGGGTGGATGCCAACCTAGATGCTAGGATGCCCAGTACCCTTATTCCCTTTTTTAGGGGGTTTAGGTTCCCTGCTAAACCCCTTTGAGCTGAGCAGCCTAGGACGGGAGGAATAAGTATCCCATCTGGGAATCCTTCGTCCATGGGGCCTTGGTACTTCTCCCAGCCCTGGGAGGTTTGGCCTTCACGCTGCTCTCGCGCCTCCGATATATGTCCAAGTGGGGTGCGGTGCACTTGGCTGCTGAGCAGGTGGAGTCGGAAGTCTACAAGTTCCGGGTCCAGGCGTCCGAGTACAACTCGCTGGAGGCGCAAAGCCCGGCTGTGCTCGCATCGAAGATCTCAGAGATCTATGGGAGCATTGCAAGCGAGTTCCACCATGACTCCCTTTATGTGCCACCTAAGGTGGGAGACATGGGGTTCCTGGTGAGCTGCACCAACCAATTCTCCTCTGAGCCTGCGCTCCAAGAGACGTCGCTACCATTGCTGGAAGATGCGGCGCGTACCCCGCAAATCGAGTCGAAGTGTGTTCAGATAGCGACAAGCTGTACTATTGAGGAGTATTTTGAACAGAGGTTGGCTGCCAAGTTGCAATATTGGCAGGATCTGGCGCCAAAGTTATCGCGCCGAGTAACAATTTACGAGGCTCTCATCGTCATGGCATCTGTGCTTGGAACAGTCTTGGGCGCTCTGGACCAAAAGCTGTGCATACCGTTCATGGTTGCAGTGGGCGCGGCTATGAACAGCCTGATGCAACACGAAGGATTGCACGCCCGCCTGGCAGCTGTCAACTCCTCCATCCAGGACCTCGTGACCATCCGGCAGAAGTGGTCCGCATCAGGGGTTGTGGAGCGCCGGACCCCGAGCATGAAACAGTGGATCGTCGACTTGACAGAGGGCGCAGTGCTGCGCGAGGCGTACGCGTACACGACGTCAGCTGGACCAGCCGCCAAGACATTAAGTGCAGAAGGGACCAACCCAGTTGCTAACGAGGTTGAAGGAACGGCAAGCCCAAAGACGGCGAGCCCAAAGACCAATCCAGCTGGTAATTCAGTTGCGGGGCCCGACTTTGATGTTGGGCCTGCTTGTCCATGACAGCAAAGTTTCAAGCGTGCATGTCCTCGGAATCCCTCAACAAAGCCATAAGCGTACCAAGGGTGGTGGCAGAATGGGGTGCTACATGGCACTTCTACAAGTTTCCTAGATTTTTGCAGGTAGCAAAAGAAGTTGAAGCGCAAACTATTGTCATAGCTACTGCTTGTAAAATGATCATCACCATTATTTTGCTACGGTTATGTATTTAATGTTTTCAGTAGTATCACTTTTAACATTCTTGACGGTACTTGCTCTTCTTGACACCATTGTTATTGTTCTGATGTACACTTCTTGCCGGGGTGTTTACGCCTTATGTTGGCCATATTCGGCGACGCAGCAGCAAGCTCATCTGGGAGTCTTGTGCGTGTCGATGAATCCTCCTTCCCCAATTGGATCCCTGACATGAGGTGCTGATCGTGACCAATGGTGCCTATGGCCTCCGTCAGAAGGCAGCAGGGGATGGTGGTTTGCTGTACACGACATTTGCTGACCCAAAGAGGCTGCATTTGCGGCCAAATAAGCGAGACACTTACCTGAACAATGAGAGGCACTTTGCAATGGAACCGCACTGATCCATATTCTATGGCAATCTCGGCAACATCTGCTCTCAACCAGTGCTTGCGCATGCAGGGCTGCTTGAGATTGAGTTTGCGGGGGTCTCCGGGCATTCTCTCATTCATGTTTCAAATGGAATCTCGACATTCGGGTTCACATTCTTCGACGCTCTTTTTTGTTGCTTGTGTTCAGGGGTCCAGTTTGCCTGGCCTCGAACGCCAGGCCATGTGCCAGTGCATGGACATCGATCACGAGACCTTGGACTTCGAGGCCCCATGTTGCGTTAAAGTGGCGGCTGGTGCCAGTACTTGGTTGTAAGGTCCCTTGTAGACACTCTGTCGAGGCAATGTGACAGGCTTACACTGAAGACGAACCATGACAAAATGAGGTCCGGGGATGATAGGGGATGCTACCTTCAGTGCTCTTGGGATTCCCGCTTGCAAGCCTCCCGACGCTTGTACCAGCCAGGACAATGAAGCCATCTGCGTGAAGAAAGCCACTCGGGCCCAGAATCAAGTTTGGGGTTGCATGGAAAGATAGGGCAGTAAGTAAGCCGCAAAGGACCTAAGACAAAGCTGCTTCTCGCCAGGTAGCCCCGAACCTGAAGACCCGTGCCTCTTAGACGGATCGTCCGCAGGACCACTTGCATAAACCCTGAACTGCATTTACTCTTCCTTTCTTTGCCATTCCATTTATCTTAGACAGCATCGGTATCATTATCACCTAACTAGCGTTATCCTCATCATTGCGCTCTGGCTATCCCTACGAGTATTGTCATCCCCTAAACCCTAAACCCTAAACCCTAAACCCTAAACCCTAAACCCTAAACCTTAAACCTTAAACCCTAAACCCTAAACCCTAAACCCTAAAACCTCTTGGGCTTTTCTTGCCTCCACCGTCTCCAGGTCTTGGCCGCGCTGCGGGAAGCAGAGGAGCGGGTGGAGTTTGCAATTTGCCATCGTAGCTTCTTATGAGAGGCTTCAGGGTTTAGTTTAGGGTTTGGGGTTTGGGGTTTTGGGTTTGGGGTTTGGGGTTTGGGGTTTGGGGTTTAGGGTTTAGGGTCTAGGGTCTAGGGTCTATAGGGTTTAGGGTTTGGGGTTTAGGGTTCAGGGTTGGGGGGGGGGGGGGGGGTTGCATAATACCATACTGCACCAACCCACAACAACACACATCGTTGCGTGCATACATGCATACATGCGTACGTAAATACGCTCCACACATATGCATTCTGACCTTTAGTGGTTTAACGGATTTGTGCTGTGACGTTCCATTGCCATGTCCGCGTTCTTGCGAGAAGCTACGGAGAACACCTCCAAAACTCCGTTGCCGGTCGGCTAAGAACGTTCCTAAGAACTCTCGAGCCGGCTACAGACCCATAAAGATGTAGCTGAATTTACGCAGTACTCGGCTGGCAAGTGCCTGCGGCTTGTGCAGCACATGCCCACGAACCCACACTTTGCATGGATCCGTCCACATCGCCATCTCGCAACATCCTTGGTGCCACCAACATGACTCCCCGCAAAATTATTTGAATCTGTGGCAGATGGACATGTCACACGCAGCTCTTCTGACCCTGCCTGTACTGACCTTTGCATACAATGAAGCACAAGGACTTCACCGACGTTTCTTTTGTGCACCACGAGACTACCGCTGGTGCCACTAAGCTGCACCGTACCCCATCTCTGCTTTACAATTTCACAATCCTTACCTAAACCCTAAACCCTACATCCTAAACCCTAACCCTAAACCCTAAACCCCAAACCCTAAACCCTGAACCCTAAACCCTATGTTTGTGTATGGCTCGAGGCCCTAGGCTTGAACTTGGAGTTTGGCTGTTGCAGCACAGGGTCAGCAAGGTCCTCAACCCACTCAAAGAGCTGGTGAAAAACATCAAGGCGGAGTTTCCTTCCATCAGAGGCCGGGGGTTTAGGCTTTAGGGTTTAGGGTTTAGGGTTTAGGGTTTAGGGTTTAGGGGTCGTGGCTCACAGATAGCCTGAACTTCGCATGGACTCCCCGCTCCCACCCGTTTTCCCCCAAGACGCTGCCAGTTCTCGTCGACTCGATGAGCGGCTTTGGTGCCTATCCCCTGGACATGCCGCTTGGCAAGCTACGGAGACAGCCAGCGTTGTCGAAGAAGGTTTAGGGTTTAGGGTTTAGGGTTTAGGGTTTAGGGTTTAGGGGTTAGGGTTTAGGGTTTAGGGTTTAGGGTTTAGGGTTTAGGGTTTAGTGCGAGCCCTGACCTGGATGCCGTAACGGATACAGTGAAGAAGCAGGTCTACTACTATTTGCTTAAGGCTTATGAACCCCCCCAAAAAAACTCAAACAGTAATCCCTATATTGCCCTTATGAGGAACAATATCTTTTCATTTTGGGGGGGGGGGGGGGGGTTCTTAAGCAATTCGTAGTCTAGGGTCTACAAAAAACCTCATCTCCAAATCCCGGCAGGAGCTGCCCGGGAGTTTAGGGTTTCGGGTTTAGGGTTTAGGGTTTAGGATTTAGGGGAATTACGTCCGGTAAGGCAGAGTCCAGCCAAGGTCCTGGGGCATCGACTTTGCCGTAAGCTCTGCAAACAAATGCATTGAGGCACTGGAGCTGTGCTTAGGGGTGTTTAGGGCTTAGGGGTGTTCAGGGCTTAAGGGTTTAGGGTTCGCGTTCAGGGTTCAGGGTTCAGGGTTCAGGGTTTAGGGCTTAGGGCTTAGGGCTTAGGGCTTAGGGCTTAGGGCTTAGGGCTTAGGGCTTAGGGCTTAGGGCTTAGGGCTTAGGGCTTAGGGCTTAGGGCTTAGGGTTTAGGGTTTAGGGTTTAGGGTTTAGGGTTTAGGGTTTAGGGTTTAGGGTTTAGGGTTTAGGGTGTGCGTGCGAGGTCGCGCGCTCGGGTGTGAAGCACCCCGGGCCGCGCGCTCGCGTTGCCCGTACACCCGCCCCGGCCACCCAAACTATTCTCAATTAGGGTTTAGGGTTCACCCCCCCAACCCCCCTCAAGCGGGGCTTTCACCTCAACCCAAGACGCATTTCAAGTCGTCATCGCCCAGCCCACTTGAGGCTCGAAAGCATGTATTGAGGTTCGGAAAACGCTTGGTGGTAACCTCGACCCTGCTCGGGCCGAGGATTCTTGCCCTGTTCGGACCGCCCTGAACACTAAATCATCGTCCAGCCCTCTTGAGGCTCGAAAGCATCTATTGAGGTTCGAAAAACGCCTGGTGGTAACCTCGACCCTGCTCGGGCCGAGGCTTCTTGCCCTGTTCGGACCGCCCTGAACACTAAATCCTGAACGCTTCGGCCCCTCTGCCTCAGAGGCCCACGCGTTTCCTGCCATCGCCCAGCCCTCTTGAGGCTCGAAAGCATTATTGAGGTCGGAAAGCGTCTCGACCCTGTTCGGGCCGAGGCTTCTTGCCCTGTTCGGCCGCCCTGAACATTAAATCCTGAACGTCTGCAAGCGCCTCAGGCCCTGAGGAGGCGCACGGGAGTGATAACAGCCCCAAAAATCACGAAATTGAGCAACCAGCCGGCCTGGACGCCCTCGACGGCCCCCTGGTCCAGGAATCCAGCCAGCAGGGGAATTGAGCAACCAGCCTGCCTGGACCCCCTCGACGGCCCCCTGGTCCAGGAATCCAGCCACCAGGGGCAGGGGGCCCCCGGGCGGGGGGGGGCCGGCAGCCCCAACAGCCCGACCAATGCCCCGTTTCTCCCAAATCACGAAATTGAGCAACCAGCCTGCCTGGACCCCCTCGACGCCCCCTGGTCCAGGAATCCAGCCACCAGGGGCAGGGAGCCCCCGGGCGGGGGGGGGCGCGGCAAGCCTCCGAAACCCTAAACCACCCCAACGGCCCCAGGTTTGGGGTTCTACTTTAGTTAACACTAAAGGTGGTCTGGATACGGCCATCCCTTAGGCCAGCAAGGCCAGGGTCGTTGGCCTGTACAGGACAAGCCGGTGAGGCTTTACCCTCACCTCTCCGCGGCCCGCTCTTTTCGTGTGGGCGCTCGGGCTGTGAGCCCTCGGCCAAGCCGTTCGGGGTCTGTCGCTCGACGGAAGCGACCCCTCACTAAGTTTAGGGTTTAGGGTTTAGGGTTTAGGGTTTAGGGTTTAGGGCCTCTTGTTGCAGCAGGGCCTGTTTTCTGCTTGATGGTTGCACACGGGGTTCTTTGTAGGCTTTCATTGCCTGCAGCCAGGGTGTTCCTGGATTCGGCTACGTGCTCTGCGGCAGAGAGGTTCGCTGCGCACCAGAACTGGCATGGTTCACAAGCTATCCATTGTGTGGGGCTGCTTTTCGAGGATGCAAACTTGAACTGGACTGGTGTGCAGTTGTCAGAAGCCAGCATAGCTCTGACGAGGATTGGCACCCTCCAGCCCTAAACCCTAAACCCTAAACCTTAAACCCTAAACCCCCACAAAAACATTGTGCGTGACCTGGCAAGGCCTTGCAGCAGACCAAAGGCAATGCGCGGAG